AATTTTGGACTAAATTCAGAGCAAATTTGTCACCTCACTGATCTGGGAACTGGTCACTTGTCAATACAGATCCTTCATTTGGTTTGCTTAATCCACTTCTCCACTATATTTTCAAGTCCTGGTCTGTTTCCTTCACCATTTGTATTTTTGAGAGCCCAGCCTCTCAAAATGGAACATTTTATATATACAATTCCTACACACAGGCTCACTGACTAGTCCTGCACCCCTAAACTGTAGGAAAATCATAGTTGGTCAGCCAGTAACCAAAATAAAAACTTTGGAAAAATCTCTTTTGGGAGTTATACGTCTTAGAATTCCTCACCAGCCGTGCAGGCTGGGACATCATGGTAGCTGTGACCACCCCCACAAAAGAAATATGAAGCTGTTGAACCCCATCTTTGACCAAAATTTAATGAAACTATGTTAAAAGTTGAGCTAATCATTAGAGAAAGCCAGTGTGTTGTGAGGTTGGAGTGATGGACTATGACTGGAGACCAAGGTCCACACCCCCACTCACTCATGGCTACCCAATGGGTGATCTTGGTCAAGTCATACTCTTTCTGCTTCAAAGGAGGGCAAAGGCAAGCCCCTTCTGAACAAATGTTGGGAAAAAACCCCTGTGATAGGGTTGCCATAAGTTTGAAACAACTCAAAGACAACCAGTAATTACAAAATAATTTGAGAATTCAGTCAATAATCAGATAATTTAGCTTTAAAAACAAATATAGTCGAGTCTGACTTATCCAGCATAAATGGGCTGGCAGAATGTTGAATAAGTGAAAATGCTGGATAATAAGGAGGGATTAAGGGAAAGCCTATTAAATGTCAAATTACATTAAGATTTTACAAATTAAGCACCAAAACATCATGTTTTACAACAAATTGACAGAAAAAGCAGTTCAGTACATGGTGAAGTTATCTAGTAATTACTGTATTTACAAATTTAGCACCAAAACATTGCTATGTACTGAAACAGCTGTGGATCTGGGCGGGAGGCAGACTGTGTTGGATAATACAGAACGTTGGATGAGCGAAGGTTGGATAAGTGAGACTCAACTGTACAAGTAAACTTCTGGAGCTCTCCGTGCTGTAAAGGCATAAAACACACTGTCTGGGGCCGATGTACCTGAGGGACCGCCTCACCCCCTACCAACCCCAGAGATCCCTCCATTCTGAGGACCAAGATCTATTGGAAGTCTCCAGTGTCAAGACCTTGCGTCTAACAGCAACCAGACGCAGAGCCTTCACAGCAGTGGCACCTGAAGTCCGTGCCTTGTGGGACTTACCAGCTTTCCGCAGGGCATGTAAGACATACCTGTTTCGACAGGCTTTTAATGTTTGATATTGCCGTTTTTAAATTGTTTTAAATTGCTTTTAAATTTTGTTAGATTTTAGCTATTCTTGTAAGCCGCTCCGAGCCCCAGGGGAGTGGCGGCATATAAGCTCAAATAATAAATAAATAATAAATAAAATAAATATATGTATTTGAGCGGCCTATCAATTTATGGTGATCCGTGAGTTTCATAGGAGCATGAAGGCCCTTCCACACAGCCCTATAACCCAGAATATCAAAGCAGATAGTCCACAAATCTGAAAAAATTATATTGTTTAGCCCATGTTGCACCACCTGACGTCCATCGGGAAGTAGCAGCCAGCAATGAAAGGACCAAGGCAGTGACATCTCTGGACCATCCTCTGTTCGGATATCAGCCAGCATGCCAACGCCTGAAATCAAGAAATAGCTTCCTAAGATCTACAGAGATGCTTGTAGGAACACCTCAGCAAGCGAGAGTCCAAAAGTGGCACCCAGCACCTCAATCAGTGGCTGATACCAGATGGGAAACTCCCTTCTGGGCACAAAGAAGATTGGGTGACTTGGAAGGTGCTGAACAGACTGCTCTGGGACCACAAGATGTAGAGCTAAACTTAAGAAATGGGGCTACAAAGTGGAGTCTGTGACATGTGAGCGTGGAGAAAAGCAAACCACAGACCATCTACTACATTGCAGCCCAAGCCCTGAGACATGCACTGTGGAGGACCTTCTAACAGCAACACCAGAGGCACCCCAAGTGGCCAACTTCTGGTCAAATGACATTTAACGTAATGCCAACTTTTAAACTTTTTTTTAACTGCATTCGCTTCTGACATGATAGATAGATAGATAGATAGATAGATAGATAGATAGATAGATAGATAGATAGATAGAGGCATGAAGGCCCTTCTACACAGCCATATAACTGGAACATAAAGACAGATGATCCACAATATCTGCTTTGAACTGGGTTATCTGAGTCCATGCTGCCGTATAATCCAGTTCAATGAGGATTTTATACAGCTGGGTGGAAGGGGCCTGAAATACTCTGAAGTGGCTTTGCCAATACTTTCCTTTGAAATGTAGCTTCTTTAACTGTGTGTCCTGACCCCAAATGGGGTCCCTCTAGTCTAGCTCAATGTTGGGGTCACAAAAAATTGGGCCAGAGTAAAAGGTTTTTGAGGAGCACCCATATACATAAATGATTGCAACATGGTGTAGTGTTTACAATTTCTGCAGAAATAGCGTCAGCTGAACCCCACAAAAAGGAAAGTCAGGCTGTTTAATAAAGCTTTGCAAATGCTGATTCATTATCAGTAAATGTTTGACTTGGATACCTATTTTATATACCTGGGGCCATGTAAAAATGTCTTGGGGCGAAAGGTGTGGCAAGTGGAAAAAGTTGAAGAAGCCTTGGCCTTTTTTTTTCCGTGTCAGGAGCAACTTGAAAAACTGCAAGTCGCTTCTGGTGTGAGAGAATTGGCCATCTGCGAGGATGTTATCCAGGGGATGCCTGGATGTTTGATGTTTTTACCATCCTTGTGGGAGGCTTCTCTCATGTCCCCACATGGGGAGCTGGAGCTGACAGAGGGAGCTCAACCTGGTCTCCCTGGATTCAAACTGCTGACCTGTTGATCAGCAGTCCTACCTGTACAAAGGTTTAACCCATTGCACCACTGGGGGCTCAATTCCCCATTTTGATTTTGGCTGCTAAGCATGGCAACCTTGGTTAATGCTTGGATGGGAGGCCGCCAAGGAAGAGCCTTGGCCTGCAGAACCTGACATTCCTTGCTAGCCTTCCATCCAAGTATTAATCAAGGTTGCTGTCCTTAGCAGCCAAGATCAAATAGGGAATGGTGGAAAGATGCTCAGTCTAGGCAGGCATGGGCCAACTTCGGCCCTTCCTCCAGGTGTTTTAGACTTCAACTCCCACAATTCCTAACAGCTGGCAGATATATCTAACTGAACACATTAATTACATATCACAGGTAGCAGTTTTCCATACACAGAGAATTGATGCCTATAATAGGACCCACATTGTTAGCGTTGTTGTTGTTGGCATGCCTTCTTGAAGAATTGTTGGACTTATGGTAATCCGAAGGGAAACCTATCACAGGGTTTTCTTGGCAAGCTCTGTCCAGAGCAATGTTTCTCAACCTTCCTAATGACGTGACCCCTTAATACAATTCCTTCTGTTATGGTGACCTCCAACCATAAAATTATTTTTGTTGCTACTTCATAACTGTAATTTTGGACTGTTATGAATCTTAATGCAAATATCTGATATGCAGGATGTATTTTCATTCACTGGACCAAATTTGTCACAAATACGCTAAACGCCCAAATTTGAATACTGATGGAGTGGGGTGGGGGATTGATTTTGTCATTTGGAGGTTATAGTTCACCTACATCCAGAGAGCACTGTGGACTCAAACAATGATGGATCTGGACCAAACTTGGCACAAATACTCAATATGCCCAAATGTGAACACTGGTGGAGTTTGGGGAAAATAGACCTTGACATTTGGGAGTGGTGGAAACATAGAATCATAGAGTTGGAAGAGACCTCGTGGGCCATACAGTCCAACCCCCTACCAAGAAGCCGGAAAATCGCAATCAAAGCACCCCCGACAGATGGCCATCCATCCTCTACTTAAAAGCCTCCAAAGAAGGAACCTCCACTACACTCTGGAGCAGAGAGTTCCACTGCTGAACAGCTCTGGGCTGGGTTGTTGTAGGTTTTTCCGGGCTATATGGCCATGTTCTGGAGGCAATTTTTCTCCTGACGTTTCGCCTGCATCTATGGCAAGCATCCTCAGATGCTGTTCAGAGCTCTGAACTGTTCTGGTAGTTTCCGGGATTTATAGTTCACCTACAATCACAGCAGGAGGAGGTTTTTAGGTGGAAAGATTCGCTATCTGTTTCCAAAAAGGAGTTCCTAAGACAATCAGAAATATGTGTCTTCTGATAGTCTTTCGCGAGCCCTCTGAAACCCCCTCCCACAACCTCCCTAGGTGTCCCGACCCCCAGGTTGAGAAATGCTGGTCCAGAGGGAGTTTGCCTTCTTTGCTGGCAGGCTGTTAGGGCATTGACCTTGAGTTTGAGAGTGGTAGTTCACCTACATCCAGAAAGCATTGTGGACTCAGGCAATGATGGATCTGGACCAAACTTGGCACAAATACTCAATATGCCCAAATGTAAACTCTGGTGGAGTTTGGGGGAAATAGACCTTGACATTAGGGAGTTGTAGTTGCATGTATTTATAGTTTACTTGCCATCAAAGAGAAATCTGAACTCCACCAGCAATGGAATTGAACCAAACTTGGCACACAGAATGGTGGGAGTTGGAGTCCAAAACACCTGGAGGGAGGGCCCAAGTTGGCCCATGCCTGGCTGGTCTTGTCAGTGTGGTGGTGGGGTCTGCCTGGAGTTGTGCTTTGGACTTGTCTTCCGCCCAAGAGTGGTGGGGTCTCCCAATTCTCAGGGTGCCAGAGCCTGAGCAGGGCACTTCCAGCGGTGGGAGGCTCCCTTCCTTCCCCAGCGGAGAGGAGATGCGCCCGGTGAGGCATGGCCCCGGGCTGGGAGGGCGGCCTGCGGGGTCCCGCGTGGGAGGGGGAGGGGAAGAGGAGGGGAGGGGAGGGGCGTCCCTCCCAAAGGAGGGCCGAGGGGCGGGCGGGCGGGGAGGGCCAGGGCCAGGCCGAGAGGGGACTCCCTGCCGGGCAGCCTCCTCCCTCGCCATGGCGCGCAACCTGGAGCTCCTCTTCGACTCGCTGGGCCACTTCGGCAGGTGAGGGAGCCCCCTTCGCCCTCCTTCAAGGGGGGGGCGGCGGCGGGGAAAGTTGGGCTCTTGCTCTTGAAAGGGGTGCTTTGGGGGGGCGAGAACCAAAGCCAGATGGGCACCCCTTGAGGTGGCCCAATGCTCTGGGATCGGAGGAGCTGGATGTAGTCTGACTCCTGGGCAGGGAAGGGCTACAAACTTGGTCAAACTGCATGTCATAAAATCATAGAGTTGGAAGGGACCTCGCGGGCCATCCAGTCCAACCCCCTGCCACGAAGCAAGGAAATCTCAAAGCACTCCCGACAGGGGGTCATCCAGCCTCTAGGGGCCCTTCCACACAGCCCTATATCCCAGAATATCAAGGCAGAAAATCCCACATTATCTGAGTATGGACTCAGATAACCCACTTCAAAGCAGATAYTGTGGGGTTTTCTGCCTTGATATTCTGGGATATAGTGCTATGTGGAAGGGCCCTGGGTTGTTGTGAATTTTCCGGGCTGTATGACCATGTTCCAGAAGCATTCTCTCCTGACGTTTCACCTGCATCTATGGCAGGCATCCTCAGAGGTTGAGAGGTCTGTTGGAAACTAGGAAAGTGGGAATGTATTGTCGAAGGCTTTTGTGGCCAGAATTACTGGGTTGCTGTAAGTTTTCCGGGCTGTATGGCCATGTTCCAGAAGTATTCTCTCCTGACGTTTCGCCTGCATCTATGGCAGGCATCCTCAGAGGTTGAGAGGTCTGTTGGAAACTAGGAAAATGGGAATGTATTGTCGAAGGATTCATAGCTGGAGTCACTGGGTTACTGAGAGTTTTCCGGGCTGTATAACCATGTTCTAGAAGTATTCTCTCCTGAAGTTTCAACCACATCTATGGCAGGCATCCTCAGAGTTTGTGAGGTCTGTTGGAAACTAGGAAAGTGGGTATGTATATATCTGTGGAATGTCCAGGGTGGGAGAAATAACTCTTATCTGTTTGACTTAGGTGTGAAAGTTGCAATTGGCCACCTTGATTAGCATTTAATGGCCTAGCAGTTTCAAGGTCTGGCTTCTTACTGCCTGGGGGAATCCTTCGTTGGGAGGTGATTAGCAGGCCCTGACTTCACATGCTCTGAGGAAGCCTGCCATAGATGCAGGCGAAACGTCAGAAGAGAATGCTTCTGGAACATGACCATACAGCCCAGAAAACTCTCAACAACCCAGTGATTCCGGCCATGAAAGCCTTCAACAATACATCCTGCCTCTGTTTCAAAAGCCTCCAAAAAAAAAAAAAAGGAGCCTCTACCACACTTCAGGGCAGAGAGTTCCACTGCTGAACAGCTCTCACAGTCAGGAAGTTCTTCCTAACGTTCAGATGAAATCTCCTGGATTGTTAGGCATCCCCTCCTCCTCCTCTTCCTGAGGGCTGCGAACAGGGCAGCCATCAATCTTTCCAACCCAGGACCACAGGAGTGCATCCCTTAGAATGGCCTTTACAGCCCCTAAATCCCATCCTTAACCAAAAACAGCATCTGGGATCTCTTCCTTAATGAGTGAGCCCATATTTATGTCAGATATTGCAGCTCACCTGAGTTTAGGCTACAGACCAGTAGTGGGGCTCTGGCCCAGTCATTGAAAATCATGGTCCTAGAAAAAGGGGGAGAGAAGGTCAAGATGTTGACTGTACTTCCTTGGATGTATGCCCCAGGCGCCACTCTCCTTCAAAGCCCCCCTCTTTCCTCCTTCCCTTTTGAGTGGAAGTTATTTTTCAGGGAGTCCCATCAGACGTGAATGGAGACACTTTGAATTTTATGGCCACTGTAAAGGCCCATTGGCACTACTTTCACTCCCCTGGCTCCAAGCTCTGGAATCCTGGGAGGTGTAGTTTCCCAAGGCCCATCGCCTTCTCTACCCAATAAGGCTATGGTCCCCAGGATCCCATACCAGTGAGCAGTGGGTGCTAAAATGGACCCAAATTGCACTACTTCTAGAGAAGTAGAAGCTGTAACTCTTCTTTCTCTATGATGTTTAATTTGGTAAGTTCTCCCCCCCCCCCCACACACAGTTTATGTTATAATAATGCATTGGGTGGGCAGCATTTGGATAGTTTATTTATTAGTCCTTCATCACAGCTTCACATACTTTCGATATCTGGGAATTAGTAACTGTCTGGTTGGTAAAATAATAACAATATTGAATGAATTTATTTTTTGCATCAGAAGCAACTTGAGAAACTGCAAGTTGCTTCTGGTGTGAAAGAATTGACCACCTGCAGGGACATTACCCAGGGGACGTCTGGATGTTTTACTACCCTGTGGGAGGCTTCTCTTATGTCCCCACATGAGAAGCTGGAACTGACAGACGGGAGCTCACCCCACCTCGCAAATTCAAACAGCCGACCTTCAGGTCAGCAGTTCAACCCTTTTTGCCACTGCGACTCATTGAATGAATGATTTAGGGCCTGATTTTGAAGAGAGGAAGAGAAAGGGAGACCTGAAGAAGATGGTGTTGCTCACCAGAGATCTGGTGCTTTTTGTGTCAATTTGGCTCTGTTTTGGAAAATAGAGCAGTTTGTGACTGAGCAAATAAATACAGCAAAGATTACAAATATAAATCTCTGCCCCTCTTCCACACCCACGTGAAACAAAATCCTAAAACCTCACTGCTCCATTTTAGAATAAGCAAATTGTCTTAAAACTATTTTCGATTTGTATGTGGCAAAGTGTGGAGATTCCTGTAACACCTTAAATAATTTTGTGTGTGTGTGTGTGTGTGTGTCAGGAGCGACCTGAGAAACTGCAAGTCGCTTTTGGTGTGAGAGAATTGGTCGTCTGCAAGGACGTTGCCCAGGGGATGCACAGATGTTTTGATGTTTTACTATCCTTGTGGGAGACTTCTCTCATGTCTCCGCATGGGAAGCCGGAGCTGACAGAGGGAGCTCATCTGCACTCTCCCTGGATTCGAACCTCCAACCTGTTGGTCTTCAGTCCTGCCGGCAAAAGGGTTTGACCCATTGCACCACTGGGGAAGGGGGAGGCTCTCAAACTGGAATGGGCAGTAGCCCATTTTGAGAGAATCCACCGCTAATAAATCTTGCAGTTTTGGAGAGGTATTTCCTCTCTTAACTCGAGCAGTCAGGAATCTGTTCTGCTGCAAATTACTTCCATTAGATTGTAATGTATTTTCATCCCACCACCAATACAGACTCTGAGAATACAGTGCTCAAGGGAAAGCCTTTCCCATTGAGTGCCTTCTTCATCCTTGGGAAGAAGGGGAGGTTCTTTCTCTCCTAAATGGATGCATGGGGAAGTGATGTCATATAACGTGAAGGAAAGTGCCACGAAACACATTTGCCTGAACAGAGAAAACTCTGTCAGAGAACAGTCTTCATTTGGGATATTATTCTTGTGCTCATTGGGACATTCTGGAGCTCTAGTGCAACAGGTAATGAGGTTGAAGCATTTCATATTCTGAATTGGATGGTGCATAACTCTACGTAAATAAATGCTGTCTATTTTGACTGGCTGTGGCATGCTATGAACTTGCAAGTATCCTTTCACCCCAACCTAGATCCATTTAACTAGACCCATACGTGCCAGAGGTGTCCCATAGGGAGGTCACAGAGCACAGTATGTCCTTTCCCACTTCCTGTTGCACATGTGCTCTACTTCAAATGTTGTCTCAGACACCGTGTTATACACAATACACAAGCGACCAAAGAACATGCAGTATTGCACATTACATGCAATCAAACTGTAGTCAAACTGTAACTACAAGGATAATTGAGGCTGATCTGGATTTAATGATCCAGATCTAAACAATTACATTTCCAAGTCAGCAGCAAGTTTGTTATTGTTGTTGTTGTTGCTGAAATCAATTTCCAAGTCTTAGCTAAGAGCTGAAACAGCACTTTTGTCAGACATGATAGGAAAAACCCAGAGACTCCTTGGTAGCTCTCTTATGTTTCTTGAGTGTTTGCTTTTTCAGTTGATTTAATGTCTTTGACCTTTCGTGGGCTAACAGATGTTTGCCAACACAGTACTTTGTACTCCTCTTCAAATTGCTCTGGAGTTGTCTCTGTGTTCTTTGCTTCTTAAAAACTATGACCCAAAATGTATTTCTCCCCCCTCGCTTTCCACGACTCTCAGTATTCTGGCATTGGGTAAAAAAGTCACATCAATCTGATGTGATTTTACATTAAAATCAGTTGCTCATCCAAATTGCTTGGGACCAGAAGTGTTTTGAAATATTTCTTTTGGATTTTGGAATACTTGCATTCACATGTATGTATATAATGAGATATCTTTGTGATGAGACCCAAATCTAAACATGAAATTAATGTTATGTTTCATATATGCCTTATATGAATAACCTGAAGGCAATTTTATACAATCTTTTCAAAATAGTTTTGTGTGCATTGATCCATGTGGAAAATTTCAGATTTTGATGTATTTCAGATTTTTAAATTCCAGGCAAGGGATGCTTAACCTGTACCAGAATTCATTTCAACTACCCCACTATCTGTAATGGCATCTATGGTATATTACATTGTAAACAGTGTTCTCCTGTTCTATTGGAGTGAGACACCTTCCATATGGTGTTGAAATGCAACTCACAGCAACCCCAGCCAGTTTTTTTTCATGTCAGTAGCGACTTGAGAGACTGCAAGTCACTTCTGGTGTGAGAGAATTGGCTGTCTGCAAAGATGTTGCCCAGGGGACGCCCTGATGTTTTACCATCCTGTGGGAGGCTTCTCTCATGTCCCCGCATGGGAAGCTGCGGCTGACATATGGAAGTTCACCCCACTCCTCAGATTCAAACCACCAACCTTTGGGTCAGCAGTCCTGCTGGCACACGGGTTTAACACATTGCGTGACCGTGGCTCCACCCCAGCCAGTAATCACTAGCAATAAGGAATGCTGGGAGCTGTAGTTCATTGACAGCTGGAGGACTGCACTATCCTTCCTACTGTTAACCTAGAAATAAGGGGAGGTTTCTTTTGGATTTCTGAACCCTTTGAGCACTGAATTGGGG